TGCTACAGTTAGAAAGAAATTAACTGAGTTACTCTGAAGGCTTAACATTTTCAGGACCTTGTGTTCTGCACCTGACTGGTTGCCTTTGCCTCTCTCCCCTACAGCTCGGAGTCAGTGATGGAAGCTTGAATGCCCGTGCTCCCATTCTGCCTCACATCCATCCGGATGAGAGACAAATGTCTGCTTGCCTCGACCCCGATGCCTCATGGAATGAGAAAAATATTCTGAGGGTGCTCTGAATTACTTCAGAGACACTGGGAGGAAGGAGGGGTGTGTGTATGAGAGTCTCTTTTTGTGTATGTATGTGTGTGTATATATGAGGTGGAGGAAGAGGCGGGGGAGGTTGGCGGTTGAGCAATGTGATTTCTGCTCGACTGTCACAAATCTAGCGCAACAGGAAAATCAATTTGGCCCAGTGTGTACCTTTTTGGCTCTGGGAGAGAATCCAAATAGCAAGGCAAGGCCCAGATAATGTTACAGTGTATTGGATTTGCTTCATGGAAAGATGGAGAAAGCAAGAGAGAGAGAAAAAGGAAGAGAGAGAGAAGAAAGAAGAGGAGAAGTGAGGAGATGGGGGAATCACAGGCATGCCATGGAACTCATGCAAGATAGATTTGTGCAAGTGTGTATGGGTGTGTGATAGGCTGGCAATGTGTCAGTCTTTATAAACACATACAGTATGCTCCAACAACACTGTCACTCATCCAAGCAAGCACATATACAGTACGTGATAAAAATGTGTGACCACATTGTGTAGTGTGAAGCCATGAAATCAACTGTTTATAGATATGTGTGCTCATGTGCAGCTGTGTATGCCTTTGTATTATTTTTGTGTGCATGTGTGTTTGACAGTCAGGTGAAAGAATGACATGATGAAATTGTTCTCCTCTGACTGCTGTCAAGGGTAAATGTGTGTCCTGTGAGATTTATATTCACTACCAGTTAAAAGTGTGGACACATTTTCCCACTGAATTGACTGGGAAAATTTAATGGAAAAGTCAATGGGAAAGTGTGTCCACACGTTTGACTGCTAGTATCTATATCTATATCTACTGTATATCTGTATCGGTGTCCATATCCATATCCATGTGTGTGGTGTGTAAACATTTATGACACTTTAAGACTTTGGTTTGGGAGCCAGTAGTTTAAGAAGTACAAAAGGTACAAAAATATTAGCATTAAAACATACTTAAATTACTATAAGTAAAAGTACTCTTTATGCAGATTAACACATTTAATTTGGATATTTGGGTTATAATTACTGATGCATTATTGTGTTTATCACTTGAATGTTGCAGCTGGTAAAGGGGGAGCTAGTTTTAACTAGCATGTATGAATAAAATTTCAGTCAGTGCAGAGCAACAAGAGAATTTTCCACCAGAGATCAATAAAGTCTTATGACTCTACTTTTAAATTAATGTGATTCTGAAAAGTAACTAGTAACTTAAGTTAAAAAATAGTATAAAATTTGCCTATAAAATTAAATTAAATTACAATTGAAGTATGAAGTAGTACAAAATATAACTACTCAAGTAAAGTACAGATACCTCAAAATTGTACTTAAGTAAGGCACTTCAGTAAATGTACTTATTCACCACTGCTGGCAGCTACAAACTGTCTCAGTATTCTCTGGATTTATGCTGACAATTGAAATCATAAGACATTTACCGCACAGCTACACTGGTGCTTAACAGAAGAACATATTTCAAAATAGCTAAAGCATCAATGTAAACAACTGATTCTGACACAGTCGGGGCACAGAATCCATTCTAGAAGATCCTAATTTCTCCACTGTCAGTGGCCTTATTGGAGCAGAATGCAATGCAGCCACAAGATATGTTGTGTTTTGACATTTTCTTGACTGGAGCTCAAACTACTGCAGATAAAAACAGTCTTAGTGTCTCACAGTAATTAATGAGCTTATTAATGTTTGTCTTATTTTGTTTATTTAGAGGATGCTGTTGTTTGCACAACTGGTTTGAATAATGAAGAATGTGTAGGTGTTCCGGGCATGTCCCACCAGGAGGAGGCCCCGGGGAAGACCCAGGACACGCTGGAGGGACTATGTCTCTCGGCTGGCCTGGTAATGCCTCAATATCCACCTGGAGGAGTTGGAGGAAGTGTCTAGGGAGAGGGATGTCTGGGCATCTTTGCTTAGACTGCTGCCCCCGCGACCCGGGCCCGGATAAGCGGAGGAAAATGGATGGATGGATGGATGGAGGTGTTTGTAAGCTGCATGTTTTTTATGGCTGCAGAAGTAACAGAAGTGGGAGTGCTTAAGATACAAATCTCACAAAACAACCCACATGCACATATACACAGTGCTGCTTGTTAACTCCCTTGCTTCCCCCTCTTCGCACTGTCTTGTGCTAAACTAAAACAACATTAACCAAGTGTCCTAACTTGTGATGAAGTATTAGAAAGTGGAGTGTTAGCAATCAGATGTCTGCTAACCATATTAGTTCTCCTGTGTCTCTCTTAGGATGGCTGCTCCTTGATCTAATTCAAACTGATTGTAGTACAGCCTCTAAAACATGCCAGATGTTAGTCACTGCTCCACGCTTTATCACCATTTATTTGGCATAGGGAATATTTTTAAATATTTTCTTATTAATCACATCCCAGCGATCGGTTTCGCTTCCCATCTTTGCCGCCTCATTCCGGATTCTCGTCATAATTCTTGGCACAAGCGCCTAGAAAACAACTGTCCAAGTTTTTCATTAGCGTCAGTCATTCTAGTGACCGGCTGCGGGGAGAAAAGGAGGAGGAGGAGGAGCTCACATCAGGATCTCATTCAAGACATTTTGCCCCGCCTCGTCAGAGTGACTGACAGGTCTGAGACATGCTGATGTGCAGGTCAGCCACTCAGTCGGGCAGAGAGGTGGTGGGATGATGCACACACACACACACACACACACACACACACACACACACACACACACACACACACACACACACACACACCTGTCTGTCTGTGGCAAATCAAATCCACACTTGTTTATAATGCTCAGTGTTTATCTAAATGGTTATACACTCTGCTTTGGCCTCAGGAGACAGACACAGCATGCATTGTCTGATAATCCTGTTGGTGTCTTGTTTGGCCTGCCATATCTTAGATAAGGCTATAAATCAGATGGGAGGTTCTCTACTACCAGACAGTCTCAATTCATTAACAGTCAGACTGGAGAGGAAATACTGCCTGGACAGAAATGCTGGAAATGTTGGAGATGGACTTCTGACTAAAATTCCACTGCAAGGCAGGGACACATTTCTACAACACTGTGATCAAAGACCTACAAAACCCTACCACAAGGACAAAAACTGTGTGACAATACAGAGACATACCGTAAGCACTCAGCACTAAGCTGTAATTAGGATTTCATTTGGACCAGAGATATCAAAGTCTAGACAAGCTGAACTGATATTATTTGGTCTTCTGCTGCAGTGTGCACTCAGCCTCATCCTCTGTCCAGTCCAGATGAGTGAAAATTGATCTGAGGGGATAATACAGTGAGCTGTGCTCAGGAAGAAGATGCTATTAGACCAGGATATTGACACCTTTATACTACATATCAACTGGACAGCTCTAAAAAGAGGTGAAACAATGCTCATCTACAGTACCTCTCCAACAGTCACAATGCGTACAGTAGATTTACATGGACAATATTTTTATTAGTAATTATATAAAAAAAACCCAAGAAAGACAAGTTCCTTGTCTTTATCTTGGGGGTGTGGATGGCTGTGGCTCAGGAGGTAGAGCGGGTCATTTCCTAACCGGAAGATTAGAGGTTCGATTCCTGGCTTGTCCAGCCAACATGTCGAAGTGTCCTTGAGCAAGATGCTGTTGCTCCCGGTGATAACACCGATGTGTGGGTGAATGGCCAAGTAGTGCGAAAGCGCTTTGAGTGTGCTGTAAAGCGTAGAAAAGCGCTATACAAGTATAAGACCATTTACCATCTCTTGGGTTATAGAAAGGTATGATCCAAAAGCTTTAGTTTTGTGATACTCTCTCAGAGTGCACTACATTTAAATATGCATGCTGTTATTTGTGGAACACGTACACCTTCTCTGCATCAGGGTCAGTTTCCTACATGACCTTTTTAAAATCCTCCTTAAATGCACATATTTTAAAACAAATGAAATCAGGCTTAGGTCTGTAAATAGTAAACTAAATGGAAAGGTCAAGCACAAACTAAGTGTGATAACTGTGTTATGCTTATTTACCTATGGCACTGCCTTAACGATTATAACTTTTAAACAGCAAACACTTACCCAATCAGTGATGTCACAGGAGCTATTTTTTATCAGCTGCCAAAGGCAATACACCTGATGTGACATCACTGATTGGGCTTTGTTTGTGATTGGTTTCTAATTTCCTTTGTTTAGTGGCACAAAACAATTTCCCTTCAAGCTGTAAAGCAATTTTGCAAATTTTCTAGTTTCCAGGGAACCTACCACAGCGGTATACAATCTAAAATGCAGTGAAGTGTCTGGTTCTGACAATTATATTATATTGTATTATATATATTATTATTATATTGCAGCATTTGATTCTGCTTAAAGTGTCTTAGATTTTGTGTTACTTATTTGTGTTACATGCTTAATTGCACAATGACTCTGCTGCACATGCTGCTCCCATGCAGCATACATTTGCTGTTATATTTTTTATATATTTTTTATTATATTGCTGTATTTGTTGCTGCTTAAAGTGCCTTAGATTTTGTGTTACTTATTTATCTACTTTATATTTAATTTGTATTTTGCGGCATTCATGTGGACGGCAAAGTAAGAATTTCATTGTACAGGGAAACACGTTTCCTAACTGTGCATATGACAAATAAACACTTTGAACTTTGAACAACAAATCTTGTCACTGGTAGTTTTGTTTCTTTGTGGTGATTAAGAGAATAAAGTTATCAAGTTGCAGCTTTTAATTGGATAAAACTGGACTATCAACATGTATATGCACATACTTTGAGAGGCTCTGATGGTAAACTTACCTGGTGCAGCGGTGTTGGCAGATGGTCCACTGGCAGGAGAGATGGGTCCAGAGCCAGACCGGGACTGCTGGGACTGAGTGGAACCTGCAGGGGAGCCCACAGAGGAGGGAGAGGGCCCACTCCTCTGGCTGGGAAGGTGGGGGGAGGCATGAGGGGAGAAAGGCGACTGGCCCTGATTATTGGCGCCTCCGTGCTCCACTTGGCTACTACTGCTGCTGCTGCTGGAAGAGCCGCCAGCGCTCACGGCCAAGCCCAGTCCCACTTCTGTCCCAGTGGGGAGGTCATCAATCGAGCCGGACAGATCCTGGAACATAAGAAAGGACTTAACAGTGAGTATTTATGAAGTTTACTCAAGCATGTGATCAGAAGTGACACAGCAGGTGGCAAATTTAAGCACAACATTTTCCTGGTGCATATTATGATATAATAAAACACTGCAACTATTTCAGCATAATTGAGATATGATTGTTTGGCTGAAAAAACATTATATAATGTATAAAAAAGAAATGAAATACAAAGCGAAGAAGCAACATATTTCCAATGCTTTTATAAGACACTACAGGTTAAAAGTTTACACTCTGTGCCCCCAAAGAGCACTTGATTTTTTGTGGCCTACTGTAATCACTGAGATTAATTCTCAGAAGTCATAGTGAGAGTGGTTAATATGACACAAGAGCAGGCAGTACCCCTCAGTAGAAGCTACCAATGTACACCAGCTGGCGTAGTGAAAATGAATTGTAGTGGGTTTTCATACAGACCAAGATTGTGTATTTTTATGTAAGTGTGTGTGTGTTCGCTTAGATAGGTTGGATGGATGGAAGAGAGGCAGTTTGTGAAATAAAGAGAAGAGGAGATATGATGTAATGCAATGTGATGGCTGCCCCCTAACCACACACCGCTGAACACACCCACCAGCACACACTCACAGACTGCGCCCCAGCTGTAGCCGAATATGCAGGAAGTCACCTGTAAATGACCTTGGTTTCCTGACTGGTGTCCACTTTAGGAGGAAGGGGAAGAGTTACGGGTATAAACCAGCTGATCCTACCTGCTATACCAAGCCTGGTGACCTCCATTCTTGTCTCACCTGAGTCCAGTACAACCATTACTGTTATCACAGAGAGTCATGTTTCTATTAGTCTGTTTGTGTCACTTAAGTCACTGTGTGGTCTTAAACTCAAAACAAACCCAACTTTACATTCACATTCGCAAGCATACACAAAATGACTTTTTTCAGGCTTGTTCTATTATTGCTTGCTATGCAATTTTCTGTCCAGCAGACCGGTGAATGTTTAATACATACACAAAAATTCTGCACTCAATTAAAGTATAGCATGCAGCAGTCATCACATGTCTGAGCAGAAGACAGGGGGTCAGTGTAATATATTACTGTAGAAGGTTGGCGGAACCTTTGACAGACTGCTGTTTCCTGCGGTAAACCGTACTTATTTCCTGTTTTCTGTATTTGCACTGCGTTGTGCTTGCTTCCAGATTGTTTAGGAATATTGCAAAAATCAGGAGCATCTTGTCTCAAAGTGATGCTGAAAAACTGGTCCATGCATTTGTTACTTCCAGGCTGGACTACTGTAACTCTTTACTATCAGGATGTCCCAATAATTCCCTAAAAAGCCTCCAGTTAATCCAAAATGCTGCAGCCAGAGTACTGACAGGAACTAGCAAGAGAGATCATATCTCTCCCATATTAGCTTCTCTCCACTGGCTCCCTGTAAAATTCAGAATAGAATTCAAAATCCTTCTCCTAACATACAAAGCCCTTAATAACAAGGCTCCATTGTATCATAAAGACCTCGTAGAGCCTTATCATCCTAACAGAGCACTTCACTCTCAGAGTAGCTTATAGTTGGGGCTGGATCAGGTGACCCTGAGCCTTCCCTTAGTTATGCTGTTATAGGCCTAGGCTGCTGGGGGGCCCCATGATGCTCTGAGTTTCTTTCCCCTCCCCTCCTGCTCTGCTCTCCTCTCCTCTCCTCTCCTCTCTCTCCCTATGCTTCTATATGCCACCATTGCACATCACTAACTTTGTGTCTCCTCTCTCCCGTAGTGTGTCCTCTCTCTCTCCCTGTACCTTTCTACAGGTTGCCCTGGCCCTGGAGCTCTACGTCTCTGATGAGCAGTCACCAGTGTTTGATTGTTGTGTCTTGTTGCTTTTCTTCTTTTGTCTCTCCTCTATCCACTCACCCCAACCGGTCGAGGCAGAAGGCCACCCACCAAGAGCCAGGGTCTGTCGGAGGTTTCTTCCGTTAAAGGGAGTTTTCCCTCCCCATTGTCACCAAGTGCTTGCTCAAGGGGGATTTGTTGGGTTTTCCCTCTGTAATAATATTGATAACAGTAAGGTCTAGACCTTACTTTGTAAAGTGTCCTGAGATGACTTTTGTTGTGATACAAATAAAATTTGATTTGATTTGATTTGATTTGGACAGCAAATGTCAGACTGTACATGTTACAGCAAAAACAACCACACCCAACCATAAGTTGCAACCAGCCCACTTGAAAAATCTTATATTCTCAGGTTTTCCTGTAGACTGTAGATTGAAAAACACTGAGTCTGGATCATATGAAAATTGTCAAATTCAAAATATTGGCTGAAAGGTTCAATTTAGCTACTTTAATCAAGACTATAAATAAAATAAATATCTCAGAGCCTGTCTGTGCCTTGAGTGGACTGGCTGTCAAAATTGGTTTTGAATTTATGCATCTCTATCAAATAGTCAATTCTGTTTCAACAGCAGGCAAACACTGTAGTTTTTCTCATTTCCTCAGTGCCGTGTTATTTCATATAAAAGGTGAGACTGGTGTCTCCCATCTCTTTCTATCCATGCATGGTCAAGCCTGTGGAACAGACAACCAAGTCAGTGTGGCTGCTTGTTTTGCTTAATGCAGTATCAGTAGTGACACGCAAAGCCTTTGTTTCTCATCATGGTGCTGTGAGTGCCCACCCACTCTGCCAGCCTGTTGCCTGGCATTGTCTTCCCTTGCACGACTGAGCACATGGGTCACACGCTTTCCTATCTCTCTTCTACTCCCTGGTACTGCTCCCCGTGTCAGCCAATCAAGTTGCCCAATATTCTCAGCTGAGTGATGCAATGTGCTGCCTCCACCAATAGGGCTGAGTGTTATTTTTGAACTTCCCTGAGTGCATAACATTTGACACAGCAAGCTTACCATGAGAACCAGTGTAACCATGGTGATGGCTTTCCAAACACAGAGAGCTAGCCAGATGCCCAGCTAAGCTGTTAAACCACAGGCTAATTGTGTGAAAGGATGGGAATAATTGCATTTCACCTAAATGGATGCTGTTGCCAGTTTTTCCAGTTGCATTTTAGGATTGGGAAAGTACATACCAGTAATTTGTTTAGAGGCTGTAAGGCTCATTTGGATTAAACACACACAGCACAGTTGTGTGGCCCAAGACCAAAAATGTAGCAGCACCATATGACACAAAAGTGTGGGAAAGCTTAAGACCTGTAGTCTGTAAAAATGTCAATTGTAAATATCACATAAACTGATTTAACAACTCCAGTGAAAAAGTAATTTCCCAATGCAACCTCAGTATAAAACATTTATCAACACATATACCCTTACTCCACCTGTATACTTCATCCTTGTCGGAGTGCTGAGGTACCTGGCTAACTGTCTTCTACAATCAAGTGTAAGGAACTGAAGCCAGTGAGCAGCCAAGCCAGGCAGGCAGGCAATAGGAGGATCCAAACACCCAACAATCTGGGGTCCCAATCCAAAGTGGCCCAAATCCAATTCGTTTGGCTCCGGGCTGTAAATTGCTCTGTGCATTGAGTCTCCAAATAGCTGTCAACCACTCCCGCTTGGCGTCCTGTATCACTTAATTCGCTTCTGGAGCATGTAATTGTCATAATCAGAAAAATATTGAGGTGATAATAACCAGTTACTTTGAGATGCCCCCACCCTCCTCAAGACACACACATATACAGTCGCACATAAGCACATAATGGGCTGATACTGCCATCTACACATTTCACACAACATTGGAAAGGCAGTCACTCATGACCCTTCACCTCGTTGGTGTTGGCGCCTGCCTGCACTCTTTCGTTTAGTGTGCCTGTGTTTCTGTATGTGTGTGTGTGCATGTACGTGTGTGTGTGTGTGTGTGTGTGACAGGCACACAGGCTGCTGGGCTGTCACAGAGAGACATGCTTGAGTACTGATGCGGCCAAGGGGACAGATGAGGCTACATACACACATTCCCCATCTCATCCTTCACCCATACTACTGACCTGCTCTCACTTTCTCTCTCTCTCTCACACAGATACACACCCTAACAGGGTATAAAGCATCAGTGTGAAGCAGGGAGCTGTCACATCCAGCAGACTGTGGGCCATTTTCCCCTGACCATGGTGCTGATGTTGTCTCCTCTCACCGCACACTGGGAATTAATCAAAGTTGCTATGGCAGAAGGCATCAAGCGTGTATGCGACTTTGTGAGAATGTTTGTGTGCAAAAGTGGTTCTGTCTAGACAGGGAGGAGCCAATGGCTGCAGCTTCCTGTGGGCTACAGGAGAGAAACTGGAAGAACTAGCCACTGTCTCTCTCACACAGTCACACACACTCACATGGAGTATCTATTTTTCTGTCCCTATCAGAAGGACAGTAAGGCTGAGGGCTCTGCACCAGATGGTTAGCCAGCTAACTAGAGCCTAAAACACAAATGCAAACAATGTAAGCAACACTCAAGAACAACCTCCCTTGTGGCTTCAAATTGCACACAACCAAAACATAGACTTTGCATTACAGATTGTATAAATAGCAATTATCAGTTAGACACTTGATTTTAATATAGGTCTGACAGCTCCATCACTTACTATAAGTGACTGTACTGTGCTCATAATTTGCAAAAACAAATCCATTTTGTTGCAATACCATATCTTTTTAATATAAAATAACTAATAATACAGGGCAGCACGGTGGCGCAGTGGTTAGCCTTGTTGCCTCACAGCGAGAAGGTTCCGGGTTCGGGGACCTTTCTGTGTGGAGTTTGCATGTTCTCCCCGTGCTTGCGTGGGTTCTCTCCGGCTTCCTCCCACAGTCCAAAGACATGCGGCTTAGGTTGATTGGTGTCTCTAAATTGTCCATAGGAGTGCGTGTGTGGTTGTTCGTCTATGTGTTAGCCCTGCGATGGATTGGCAACCTGTCCAGGGTGTACCCCGCCTTCACCCGATTGCCGGCCGGGATTGGCTCCGGTGACCCCGTTCAGGGACTAAGCGGTAGAAAATGAATGAATAACTAATAATACATAAATCAGTAGTTAGT